TCACTTCTGAAAAGTATTATTGAGCATGAGATGAAAAAGTCTTAGAATTTGTTTCTGGCTTTCTCTCTCTCATGGTTGAGTAATATATGGAAACATGTTGCCTCCATGGATATATAATGACCAAAACTTTTTCCAGCTCATATAGTTTTATTTTGGGTGTTCAAGGGTTTTGGTAGTTTCCTTTCAAAACGTAGAGATTACTGATATGTGTTAATTCTCTACCAATTAAGTTTTGCTTGATACACAACTCGGATATAACTCCTTACATTATATTTAAATTAGGATTGTGTTGGGCTTTGTTTAAAGCTCATATGGATAGATGGATGAAAATTTTGCAAATCAATTTTGACTTTAGTTGAAGATGAAGAAGCCTAATAGTTGAAAAGGAAGATTTATTCGGTTAAACGGGACACGGTGTGTAATCCCAAGTCTATGAGTGAGTTAGGTGTCAAAGATATTCACCTTTTCAATCTGGCTCTTATTGGGAAATGGGTATGGCGTCTGAACATTGAGGGGAACAGTCTTTGGTGTAGAGTGTTGAGTTCTAAGTATGATTAGGACTTTGCTAATCCTTCTAGTGATGTGTTTAGGTCTTCTCCTCTTAATAAATCCGCCCAAGTTCGGGATTTAGGTAATCTTCATCCGAGGGGTACTGATACTATTTCTTGGTTCTGGCATGGTATTGCCCTCGTGTCGGGATGGGAAGTTGACTAGATTTTGGCATGATAACTTGGAGACTTCATCTTTTTAGTTGGGAACTTGAACTAAATGATTATTTATTGCAAGATCTTCAACAAGCTGACATTTAGGACAACACACTTGATTCTTGGGAGTGACACCATGACAAGTCCAAGAAGTATTTGCTTAGGTCAGCTTACAACAGTACTCTTGCTCGGTATAATTTCCAACATACTACCAGCATCGACCACTTCCATCTTCTTTGGCAATCAAAAGCTCCTTTGAATGTTACTACTTTTGCATGAAGACTTTTTCAAGACAAGATTCCTACTAGGGATGCTCTACTGAAAAGGGGGGGGGGGGGGGGGTATCTTTAGCTCATGGAGGTCCCTTATGCCCTTTTTGCGAAGAGTATCCGGAAACTGCTCAACACATTTTCTTCCTCTTGCGCTATCACTTATTCTGTTTGGCAACTTCTCTATAACTGGTTGACCATCAATACAACTTTCCCCCTTCGGCCTATCCATCATTTCAACAATCACATGGGCATGTTCTCATAGGCAACGTTTGAAATTTTGGAGTACCATCTAGTTGACTATTATTTGGTCTATTTGGCTTTATAGGAATGGTCTTATCTTTAACTCTATCAAACCTTCCTTATAGTAAATTCTTGACTCTACAAGGATTAAATCTTGGATTTGATTCAAAGTCAAACTTGGCAAGGTCTCCTTTAATTCTATACCACTAAATTGTCTTAATATCAATTTGTATTGTGTATGATCTTTTTCTTTTCTTTTTCTTTCCTCCTTCTGTAACACTTATTGCCTATAAAAAAAACTATTTTTCTATCTCTATTTGAACCTTTGGTTTATCTTCAGGTAATAATGGACAACAACTTGGGTGGCTTTTGCAAAATGAAGGGTGTGTACAACACCACAGGTCGTAAAACGTAGGGAATGACCCACTATCCACAATTATGCATTGTATAAACAAATATTTATTATGTCATATATTTTCTCATATGCTACGCTAATAATAATGAAACAAAAAATAATAATAATACAAATTTAAAATTTTAATTAATATAACATGATTATATTTACCCGACACAAGGTATGACATAACTTATGGGTAAGATATGGGATATATCTTTATGCCCATATAATGGTATATAGTACTATGATCACAATGAAATAAAGTTAACAAGGCACTATTCTTTGACAGTTCATAACATACGCAAAGTTTCAAAATAGATAATTGTTGGCCATCCAATATAGAAAACCAATGAATACCAACTCCTTTAAAGTCAACTTCCCAACCAGAGTGTTCTCTCTAAATTCTAAGCCACGGATGCATCATTATCACAGCACCACGAGCAATAACATAAGGGACAAGAATCACATATTTCAAAGAGTGTTTTCATTGTTTTCTACGGATAAGGATCACATATTTCAAAGAGTGTTTTCATTGTTTCCTTTTGCTTCAGGTTTTATATATATATAAAGAGAAATTTGACATATATATAGAACCTATATATATAAATATATGTTTCGGAAGAGTATTTCATCGAGTTCGGGAATGATATCATTGTTTTTAACATCGCTTAGTGTGGGTTTGGGATTAGACAAATATAAACCCGACTCCGACCCGTCGCGCTGACATCCTTCCCAGAACCACATTTCTGTATCTTAAATTTCAAAGTAAATAGGAAATATAAACTAGTTTGCTTAAACTGCTGAGTGATGCATCATCTATATAATAGCAATTACAATAATATGATATTTGGATTGTTATGGAGGAATAGTCTCTGCCTCTCTTGTATTTGGAAATGAGTCAGTTATCGAGCAAAATTGCTAAGTGATGCACCAAAAAGACCTTCTGTACATGTATATCTCTGTGGTATCTGACAATGATGACTAACTACACTCACAAATCACGAAAATTATCTGACAATGTTCATGATGAACCTGCTTTTTGTAATTTTCTCACTTAGTAGAAAAATAATTAAGATTAATCTTGTGCTCTATTTTGTGGTATAAAGCACTGTTGGCTCAACACATACCACACAGTACAGCATATATAGCATAGGGTCTCAGGTACCACCAGCTCTAGAGTAGTACTCTCTTAAAACCAAAGTGACCATACTATCTATCACTGGGGGAAAACCCTCAGTAATGTCAATCTTCCTACTACTATAGCCATCCTAGGATGCTGTATATATAAATTGAGGAACACAATTGTTTCTCAAAACCATTCACACACCTAATCACCTATAACAACCATACCAAACATTTAATACAAAAGGGACAATTGAAAAACAGATGGTAATTATTAATATCTTCTAGGTGACCTCTACAAGTAACACAATATAAACTTAGAGAATGAGTGAATTGTTCATTTTACACGCTTCAAGTTCAAAAATGAAAAGTTTAAGCTTTTTAGATCATGTATGTGTTGGATACACAAAACTATTTGTTTATCTATGTAACTTCCCCGGACTATATAAACTTTTCTAGGAGAAACTTTTTTTTGTTTTGATTTCCTGCTCAATGACATGTTCATTTATTTTACAAATTCAGAAAGAATATAATGAAGTTTTAAAGTTGGAAATGAATCAAATATACATCTGAAAAACAACAAAAGAGTACTGTACTTACTTAAATTAGTATTATACCTATATATAAAAGAGAATCAAATTTGCGTCAGAGAGTAGATTGTGTAAAACATCATCCTATATGAAACAAAGTTCTGGACATGAAAATTTATCTGTGTGATAAAGCACATATTGCAGTCTCAGAAAGAAAAGCACATATCGATGCCACTCTCAACGGTCACTGCACTAATATAGCATATTCGATAATGGTTAGCATAATTTGACTAAGGACACCCTTTTTATCAAATCATCAACCCTCAAGAGAGGTCTCCTATCTCAATCACAACATTATTATTATTATTCACCTTCTTCTCTTAAATAAATCCCTCACTTTGGAAAACACAAATTTAAAAAAAAATTGTCACTTTAAAAACTTTCAGTGACAAATATTGGCAACAAAATCTTCAATAAGAGACTTACTAACATATTCTTCTGCCATGGACCTAAAGCTGAGATGGGTTTATCTTTATGCAGAAACATTTTTCAGTAACAGAAAAATAGAAAGGGAAGAAACGGAGAGCATCAACACTAGGGTTCGTCCTGCTGTCAGTAAATTTTATGGGCAGACTGAGATTGTTCGTGGATGGAGCCGTCCTTATAAACGAACTGGTTCTCATAAACAAACCATAAGGGTGAGTATGGCTTGGGACTTCGGGTAATATTTGTCCCTTATCCGACCCGAAATTTTAAACGGTTATTTTTTGAACCCGAACTTATCCTAGATCTAAAGGCTAATCTGTAACTCGATTAAATATAATGTATACCTCAAAATTACTTATTATTATAACTATCTAGTTTAAGAGATGAAATGATATATGTGTAGATATTTTGTTAATCATATATGATAAAAATGTAGAGAATCAATCATATATGAAATGATATGCGAGTGTGTTTTGGATGGCTAAAATTTGGTCCATTGACAAAATAACGTCATCTTTAACAACAAAAAATGTAGGTATGGAGGTGTTAGTGGATAGGATAAAATTCAAGTCTCCCTTATGGATCAAAGGTAGACATAATGGCAAAGACATGTCTTGGCTTGAATGGTGTTATAATCTAATTTTGTGTTTGGATTGTTATTGTTAGGTTTTTTTTATATGTAAGTTGGGGGTAAGTTCTTTCCTTTTGCTTTCTGGGGATTTGTTTTCCCTTCCTGGCTGTGTTATTCTTAATTTTGTTACTCTTTTAATAAAATTGTAACAAAAAAAAAGAAAATATACGAGTGTCCTAAATAATGGTATGTGAAAGCCATCAAAGAAATCACACTCACTACAACATTAGAGGAGGAAAATGCTGTATGAACTGTGAACACCAAAAACTTAGACCTATCATGGTATCCAATGTTTTCCCCATATATTTTCAGGAAAGTATGTATATAAAGAATGAAAAACAATAGATTAACAAAATATAGATAAATATATAAGATATTAAATATGATATAAATTTTAGTATTCAAATAGCTCTTAAACAGTGTTTTTTTGGTACACCATGGGGCCTAACAGCCTAAGCCCGCACTCAAACAGTGTAAGTAGCAGTAATTTTAGTAGAGAGGTTGCTGTTGTAGTCTTTCTTTTATTTGTGTGGCACAAAAGAGCCATTAATAAATCAATTATGATATAGCCATAAGTCTCCCTAGTCTCTAGCTCTCTGCAGAACTCTATTTTGTAAATGCAATCTTCCTATACAAGATCTGTTCCCTTCAATTTCCCTTAATTTTCGTACATTTTCTCAGGAACTATTAATTAAAGCAGCTCCAACCATTTTCTATAAATTGAAGGAATTGAAAGTGGCAGACATAATAAAATATCCAAATGCTTTCTTCATCTCAGGTTAGTTCTTCACAAATATTCTTTCTTGATTACACTATTGTTTAAAAAACAAAATTGTCTTTATGTTCAGTGCATGACGAATCATCATTTTACTATGACATTGCGCCTTTTCAGATTGTTGAATGGTGTTAATAACAATTTGTTGTTGGAACTTGGAGATTGATAGCCCACAAGATATCACACTTCATTCAACACTCCAAGGTAAGTTGGGATTGCATTTAATTATTTTGTTTTTATGAGCAATTTTATTTTTGCTGGACTTAGTTGTGAACTTGTAATAGTAGAGCATGGAACTGAAGTTAGAAAGAAATAATCAACAGGCTATTTTTATTCTCAAGTAATTAATAATTTGATTTAAAATATTGGGACATAATTTAAAATATTAGATATTTGTGAACAAGAATATACATAATTCCATCATTTCCATGGAAAAGAGGAAAATGAATTGGGTCAAACCCGAACCCATAACTTCTTTTGCATGTTTGTAATGATATTATGACAATTACCGAGGGAAAATGAACAAAAGTGAAAGACAAGATATGTTAATAAAAATGAATAGAGAATAAGAAAAACACTTGTACTGGTGCAATTATTTTGTTGCCCTAATAAGAACCCTTTAAGCTAGTCCCCATAAACAAGAGCGTACGGCACTGCCTTTTGCCATATTTCAGATGCAACTCAACCTGCCATTGTTTGGTGAGTTGTGCAATAATGGTCCATTCATCCATTCCCATTAGGGTTTCTGATTTCTCACCACTGTTCATCCTCTATTCATACCTACCTACCTAGGGCTTCTCAGGAACTACCCTCTATCCCTAACCAAGTTCTATCTATATGCATATTTAGAACTATTTCCTGGGTGGTATAACTGATTTCTGGATCCAGCTATATACTTCCTTTCTTTGGATTTGTGATCTGTTACTTTTAGTAATTTTGATACCAATCAATGTTAGGGAAAGGCCAAAAAGGGTTATAAATGAAAGGTAGTACTAAAAGTGGTGAAGATCTTAGCAAGGTTGTACAATATGTTTTTCAACAATATTCAAGGAGTTCTCTAAGGTTGCTGACAGGCCATACATAGGTATATCTGGGATGGATTTTCTGGTTATAGAATTATTCATTCTTCTTATAGGTTATACTCATCAACTAATTAATGACTTTGAAATCAAATATTTTATTTTTAATTTTAATAAAATGGATCTGAGTATTTGATCACTGATCTGGAGAAAAAGGCTATGGATCTAGCATAGTTCCTTACCCCCTTTAATTTCTCTTGTCATTCATTATGTTTCCTGAGATCTACAAGCGATGAAGCATGAAGTTATTTGAAACCACTGTTGTTAAGGCAGATTAGGGTTGATTTAACTTGCTTTTTCTTTAATCAGCTTTTTTAACTTGCTTTTTAAAGCCTCAGGTATTTGTGAGAACAAAATAAATTTGGGGTATGCAATTTACTCCTTTAATATATATATATATATATATATATATATATATATATATATATGAGGTGTACCAAAAGATTTAGACAAAATTACCTTAAAGTTTTGTGTAACATGTTTTAATAAGTAGTGTACTTGTGTAATTTAACTTTATACACACACCCCTAAACCTCAACCTTTCCTCATTTCAATCTTTCTAACTTTTAAATACCTAATTTTCTCTCATCCTCCTCTCAAACAAAACTAAAACGAATCATTTTTCTCCTTTAACATTATTTGTTTCATTGTTCCAGTTCACAAACCTATGATAATTGGAATCAAACCCAACAGTAGATGAACCAGTTCTGTTCATATTAACATTATTTGCTTCATTGTTCCAATTCACCGTCTTTTTTTTCCCACTCACTAGTGTCTGTCTTTTTCTACACAAGAGAGTAGAATGACATAATAAACTATATATATATGTGTGTGTTTTCTTCTTCTGTTGATATTATCTGAGTTTTTTTTTTCTGTTTCCATGGTTATGTGTCATAAATTTTAAAACTTTCTGATATATAATTGTGGGGCTATATTTTTTTAATTTGTATTTTCTCATGGAAGAATTCATTTTAATCTTTTATTCAAATTTACACAATGGAAGTGTCCTTAGACCTATATAGCCGCTAATATGATAGGACTTTATCTGAAAACAATTTAGATATGTGGAATCAGAGCCATAGTTATCCGATGAAGATAGTTGTTCAAAAAAAAATCGTTATACATACTTTTGCATATTTAATGTATTGTAAAAAAAATGATGTAAATGTTATTAAGTTGTCCATAAATTTAGATAAAAAAAAGATTTTTTTATTTCTGACTTCGGCGCAGATTATAAATTTCGAAAATTGATAAGGTGACATTAAAAATAGTGAAGACCATTTGTTGATGCACATAAGCACATGAATTTTATAAGTTTATAAAACACTAATATCTGCTCATTAACTTGAAAAATGTTGAACTCAATCCTTAAGACTTAGAAAATCATAACAAGTCAGGGTTATAATTTTGATTAAGGAAATCATAACTTTAAAAGTAGATCTTTTAAGTAAATTAGAAGTTTGTCCCAGAAAATAAAAAAAATCTTTTTTTTTCGTACAGCTGAATTAATAATTGAAACATTTTGGAGTTGTGTCTACTTCAGAGAACAGCAATGAGCAATTAATAATTAATAAAATACTCATTTTCTTTGTTGACTGTTCACTTTTGACTGAATAACATGAAGAACAGCTATTAGCAATTCTAAAAACTTGTTAATAGATTATATAGTTTGGTCTTTTTTATGAATATAATTTCACAGACGTCACTTAAAACTTAGTGATCAAATAAAACTTTAATTTCCCAAATAAGAAGCTCTAATAAAGCCAATATGTCTTTCTTGTATTATGAGTCTGTTATCATGAAATGACTAAAAGTTAGGTTCCAGTGATTACAGCTTACATCAAAATTATAAATGCTTTGAACTCAAAATTCTCTCCTATGCAAAATTAAATGTTAAGTAAAACTTGTACTTATTTCTCTCATATGCAAAATTAAACATTTTTTAAATAAAATATATATATAAATTCATGAATAAAAAACATGTGTCATAAGCGTTAAAAAAGAACCTTTGGAGGGAATATCCAAGTTATATACACCCGAAGAAAAATGCAACAAATTAAGTATTATAGTTTTAATATAATTAATAATAATAGTATTTACATAGTTGTATCATTAAACTTTTATATTATTTTGGTTAAAATAAGATGAATTAATTCATTAATGTATATTATTTATATTGTAATATGTTTTGACAAAATGGATAAATTAAAATAGAAATTATATACATTTTTTTTAATTTATTTTATTTATTTTTTCTCCAATAACATTAAAATGTAACAAGGTTAATTACAGCGATAACTCCATTAGTCCAATTAAGCACATTCTTTATTCATAAAAAAGAACATTATATTCTTCAGATTTAAACATGTTACTATTTTTAACTAGTAGATAACCTTAAAAATTCTACAAAATTCAACTTTTTTTAAGATTGCTGATCTCAGATTTACACACATCAACTCTTCCCATAATTTTGGGATCAACTATAGAATATTCTTTTACCTGAAATTATTATTTACGAATAAGACATTAGTCTTGTGGGGTAAAGCTCCACTAATTCGCCAAAACTAATAAAATGCCAAAAAATTGATTTTTATGAAAAATATTTATTAAAAGGAACAATCACACGCTTTGAAAGAAATTAATTTCTTTATAAAAGTGAGAGATAAGTTACTTAGACTGACATACCCAATCAAGTATCAACTTTATTTTCCTTTGACTTCAAAACTCCAAGTTGAAGCAAAATCTTCTGATTTTTATAAAAAAAATTAGTTTTTGTTCATTATCAAATTTTATATATACTTAAATACGACATTTCCTAAAACAAATTGAATGTGAAGATAAAATAATTTAGTTTTATTAATTAATGAACGGCAGTTTTGATAAACTCCATATTCCATATTTTATGTGAAACCGTAGAAAATTGTTTTTATCTATACTTACTAATATAAAGTGAAAACATAAAATAACCATTTATGATGGTGTAATTTTTGTTTCCGATTTTGCCCTTATAAATTTATATTTTATACTAAAAAATCATATAACATATTTCCTCATTTTATGTTTCATGTTTGTTTATATAACTTTTACAGTTTTTCCATTTGAGCACGCCAATTTTTTCATATTGGTCAATGCAATATTTGAACACGATAGTTTATCATTTTCATTTTTTAACATATAAAATTGTAATTCATTTAATAGAAAAACAAATTGGCATGCACGTGAGTGTCTGTCAACACGCTAGTAGAAAACAAATAAAACTTTTTAAGAGGATAATAAATAATTTATGGAAATATATTTTTGAAAAACAGATATAGCTACCATTGCAATCGATATATATTCAGACTTGGAAGATAGGTGCAGAATAGCCCAACATACTTGGACATAATTGTCCGTTGGTATAAACTTTTTTTGTGTGAATCATAAACCCTTTTTTGTATTACGAGACATGAAATTAAAGTTGCTAATTTCAAAACCCTACACTCTTGCCACAAGATAGGTTTAAACTAGAACTTGAAGGTTAAGAAAAGAAAGAAAAAAACTAGGACTTGAAACTAATGTAATTAAGCTACGTACGGGTCATGTTTCTGACTATTAGATGTTTTTCCTCTCACCATACAAAAAGAATTGCAAATGAAGCTGGGGAATAAAAATTGGGTTTCATGTTCTTTGTGCTCAACAACTCAGCTCTTTCAATTCTAGAGTTGTAAACATTTTCTCTGCAGTGTATCTACACACACACACACACACACATATATATATATATATATATATATATATATATATATATATATATATATGAAAGTAATGTAAGCTAAATAATTTGTACGTTTAATACTTAAACTAAGTCAATTTGGGTTTAGTGTCTATTCAATCTCCTCCATAAAGATAAACTGAATTCACCCGTTGCAGAAAATCAAGGAAATTTACCCAAAGACTAAGTAAGTAATTACCAAACTTATATCTTATTTTTATAGGCTCATCATACTTATATCTGAGAAATAACCCTAACACTTTTCCCAGGGATGATTAACATTTTAGAGTAAGAAACCAACCACGCCGTTGAAAACCTCTCTAGTCCAAAGCTAAAATGTTAAAGCTGGTTCAATGCATATCCAATCAGGGTTGGGGAAAGGTGAAATAATCCGTATTTTTCTTCTTCTTAATTAAAAACATCGCTAAGACTATTATAAGATATTAATGATTTTGTACAATTTAACGAAATAAATCTGTAGGGTCAAGGAGCAGAAGCAAGAAAGAGGTAACATTTTATAGATGTGATATGACATAGAATGATTTGCTAAATATTGTTTAACATATTCTAGTAGATGGAAGATACCTTGGAACATTACACGCCAAAAGGAAAGTAAAGAAATACACAGCATCCTTGTATTTTATTCTGCTCACATACAAACATGAAGGGTGCAATGGCCATGATCATAGACTAGATGTTGTGATTGTTGTAAGCCCCCCAAGGTTTTCCCATGGACTGAAATTCTGAAAATTGATGCTGCAAACAGTTTTATGAGTAATGATCAGAAATGTTAGAGATGCACAATCATTTTAAATTGCAGTTACAATATTGCTATTTTGGGTCTTAGCAATTGCATGTAAACACAATTGCAGTTACAATTTTTCACAAATGCACAAACACACCATAACCACAATCACAATCGGATTTTAAACCAACCCCTTTAATCTAATATGTTCTTCGTTTAGGAAATTAATGCATGGTTGTGAATGGAATAGAAATTGCTATGTTATTGAACCAAAAAATCAAGCATATTAATGAATTTGGTGGAAACATGCGAAGTTGGGTGTTAGTGTGTTACTAATTTGAAATTTATTATATCACCTCTTGAAGGATTCCTGTGTTACTCAAAGAATAATTGAAAATCATGGTTGGGCTCCATTTGTTCATAATCACTAGAGAATCTTCTTGCTCTACATCCTCTTCAGTTCCCAAATGTTCCTTCCCTTGAGAGCTTCGTTCTTCAACCTCATTCATCATACCCAAGGATGGATCAACACTTTGGCTCTGAGTACCTGCACACTCTTTAACAATATCAAAGGGATTCCAAGAACATAAATAGTTAAGATTATTGTTTGTTGCCGCGTCGTCATATTGCTTTGATTCATGTGCTTCACCTAGCAACTGAGTCCTCATCATCTTCTCTCTGGTCCTTTCTCTTGCTCTTTTTCTTGCCTTTTCCCTTGATTCCTTACCAACATGCTTGAAAGCACTCTTTCTACAAACCTTAATTCTTCTTCTCTTTGTTACTCCCTTAACTTGTTCTTGATCTCCACTCACTGCTATCTCATCCAAGCTTGACATAGCTTCAGTACATTCAGAAGTCGAAGATGCACTATTGACATGAATATTCTTTTCTCTTGCTAGTTGCTTGATCTCATCTTTTGCTTGGTTCAGCAACCAGTCCACAGTTTTGCTAGCTTTGTCAAAGCCTAGCATGTCTTGCAGACTGAAAAACCTCTTTGCAACTAAAAGAGACAATCTCATTCTTCGATCTCTTAGTCCTTTAGCTGTATTGATCTTACTGTGCCGATCTCTCTTGCTAGATTTTCTCATTGGAACCTGCGGATCCGTACCTTGTCCCTCTTTATGATCAGGAATAATAGTAGCCTTCTCCATGTTAACATCATTAACAGTCTCAACAGGTAGAGAATGTTGGTGTTGAAGTAAGTCATGATGATGTTGTTCAAGGAAAATTTCATGGTCTTCAAAGGGAAAAGGAAATTGAAAATAGGACAAAGGAGAATGAGGAGAGAGAATATCACATGAATAGGTTGTTTCTAATTGTGTCGAGGTTGGGTTGCTTTCAATATTGGAAAAAGGCCTAGAGGAGTAAAACTGGATGGGGTGTGGAATTAGGTCATTGCCATTGATTGAGCTATTTGAGGAATACATAATTAATTGTTGGTAATAAATATTGCACCAATAAACCCTAGTTAGCTTTGGTTTGAGAACGACATGTTCACTTTCCTCCCTTGTATTGAAACAAGAGCAGCTATTCTTCTCCCATCCTTTTCACTTCATGATGATCTTAGTTTGTTCCTGTTTCCATGGTTGTAAAGGAATCCAGACATTATAATTTGAGAAAGACATGCTTCTTTTTTACCTTATAGTAATGAGAGGGACAAGGGTACTATATATAACATCTTATTACACCACCGTATATATGTATGTTTTTGTGTGAATGATGGTATTGTAATTGTACTATATATATAATGAATTAATGTTACATGCATTGACAGAAGGAGAGGTGGGTCAACATAAGGCAAGGAAATAAGGAACAAGAGCAACTTATTGTAGACAACAAGGACTAAAGCACCATTTCTTTTGAGCAAAAGTTGCTGTAATCTCTTATAGAACGACATAGTGACAAGTTAGTGGATATAAAAGGTTTTAACTCGTGCCACTTCACGTGGTGCGCAGTGTGTTGTGCGAAATTGACAGAAAACTAAAACCCTTCTGCTTTATTGTTACTAGCATATATATCAAGCATCTCATTGACCTTGCATGGACTAAATTCATAGCTACAAGAATTAATGCTTTCTAATTCATAATGTTACTTTTGACGTTCATCACTGATTACAACAAATTAAGGATAAGATTCAGAGCGTGATTTCAAACATAAACCAGATATAATTACATAAAATGATGCCAAGATGTAGGATACTTTTCATGGCAACATTCACATAACACAAGCAATTTCTTTTCTTACTTTTTCTTTTTCTGTCCTTTTCACTTATTATTAATATTATTGTGATAATCAAATGGATTAAACAAATAAAAAAATCAAAATATCATGAGAAAGACAATACAGTTTGATTTCCTTCTATAATACTATCGAAATTGATTAAATTACTTTCTTGGAATTCAAGTTCATTCGAATCATGTCAAATCTTTCATCTAACTTTTGTTTGATTATGTGATTCATCGATTGATAGATAGACAGTAATATATATTTTAATATAAATTTTGATTCATATATAATATGGCATATATTATACCACAAAAGACCTACACGTGTTTATGTACTTAACCCTAAAAGAGCAAATGGTGGAGAGATGGTACAATTATTTCCACATTCATTGCAATTGTAGCCATCCCTTTGACTGAGGGGGTCCTGAGTCCCTTACTTTCACTAAAAAGAGATGCCCCTTAATCCACTATCTCTTTATTTCTTTCTATCTTTCTTTCTTTCATTGTCGTTGTAGATGTCTATCACATTGTATATAGTCTATTTGAGAATGTTGTTGTTATTGTTTGTTCCCCTTCCCATGCGTGCTACTACCTTATCGGTTTTCCTTATACTTTTCTCTGATCTTTAGATAGAAAAGAAAGTAAGAAAAGTTAGAGATTGGTTTTGCATTTGTACTTGCCACTTGTTCCTACCCACTTGGAACTTCCCATAGTTCTAAGATCTCTCTATCTTTGTTGTCGAAATTGTAATGGTCCATTTACACTTGAAAGCACTAGCTACTTTAATAGTAAATATACACCAAAGTTTACTATTTTAGTTTCCCTTTCTTTCCATTTATTCATGCCGTTCTCCCCACTTATCTCCAACCCCTTTCTCTTTCTCTCTCTTTCTTTCATTCTATCTATACACACTCGAATAATTACAAGGACCACAAGCCACTACAGATACATATATGACTAAGCAAAAGGGTTGTTCTATGGTTCCTTTCATTCATACAGTAAATAACTACAAAAATGATTAAAAAAAGTAACAAATTTCATATTTTGTTTATTTTTTATAGGAAGATATATCTTTGTTTTTTATTTGTACTTGAGAATGAGTAAGCTTCTAGTCAAGCTCATCAAAGAATAACTTGCTAATAAGTCATAATTGGAACAACATGCTATTTGGGGAGCTCTTAGACTTCAAGAAGGATCTTTTTCGGTAATGAGAGACAAAAGTTCGTTTTTCTTCATGTTTTCAATAACAATAATGTATTTTCATGATAAATAAAATGATAAAAGTATCATTACTTATTATTTTTTGTTTATTATTGTGAGACATTTACCTATAATTGAGAGAATTCTTACTCCTTAGACTTCTTACTAGGTTTGGAGAGTGAAGGTAAGATAGCTCACAATAATTTTGAGAATTTTTTTGGCTTGTAAATTCTTCTATTCATCTTATTCTATACTAAAGATGGACATTACACTTATAAACTTTTTGAAGGGAGATCATGTATTTCTATTTTGTTTCTCGTTATGTCTCAATCTAATAAAAAAAATTCTTCATGTTTCATGATTATTAGATATTGTTTATTTTTAATCAGTATTAACTCTTAATGTTGTGGAGGATGTACTGCTTAATGTATATAAATATTTATACTTATAGTACATAAATATTATACTCATTTTGATTATATGTATGTTATTTTGAGATTACATAAATATTATACTCTCATTTTCTATAGTAAAGTCATGAAGAATAAATTTCTGCAAATTCACACCTTGGTGACTTGGGTGATGAAGTTGAAAATTTTACAACTACTACATCTAAGTTATGAAGATTGAATTGGCCAGAAATTAAATTTCGAGAATGAACCACAAAACCCATGAAAGGAACCCAAATACACACAGTAAACAAACACATGCAAGGAAACCTAAAACCCTAAGGATGAAATCAAAATGTGAGTGAGGGAATGTAGCTTGTGTTTTTGTGGGGGGAGTTGGGAGAATGAAGTTTGTTAAGCTCTCTTCTGTCTTTGAGAAAGGATTAATGAAAATAGGAAATTGGGGTATATTTAATTAATTTTGGATAAGAGCGATTTATATACAATTAATACATCATCCATTATTTATTTGTATTATTTTTTTAAAATAATAATAATAATAAAACATTAATAATGAATAATATAATAGCATTATATATAATCATATATTTTTTTGGGAGAGATCCACTTATTCCAAGAGTAAGTGGAAAAAACCTATTTCACATTATGATAATTCATTTTGAGAAATCCAATGGTTTGAATTGATAAATACATCTAAACCATTGAATTTTTCAAAATTTGGAAGGCTAAGATGTGGAATAAATGGATCATGCATGAAGCCTTGAACATTGTGAAAGCCCGCGAGTATTTCCCGCCACAATACAACGTTTCATTTTCATTTAAATATAATTTCAATTATAAATTTCGCAATTCCCACAACACCAACACTCATCATTCGCACTTCACACACACACTTTCAGTTTCACTATCGAGCCCTAATTGCAGCAATGGCTGAAAACTTCGATCAACTCCACAATAAACTCCCCGAACTTAAACTAGGTATCATTCATCTTTTTTCTTCTTCTTTTTTTGGCTACTATTTGAAGTTTGCTAATTTTTCTACCATTTTTTATTATATGTTGATAGATTCTAAGCAAGCACAAGGATTTCTATCATTTTACAAAACCCTACCTAGTGTAAGTATCTCACTTTCTCCTCTTATTCGACAATCTCTGTTTATATTGGGCTTGGTTCTGTTTGGAGTGTGTTAAACCATTATATTATATATCATCATCTTCATTTTTATTGGTAAGAGTATGCTAATAAAGTTTCACATTAAGCCAACTTTGTTTTTTTTAGTACATTGAATTGTATACAAATTAATGTACAGTAATATACTTTTAAGAGAAATTAAATATCAAAACCATTTATCATATTGGTATTCTTGGTTAAATTTTGTGAATGTCAGCAAGCAAGAGCTACATGATAATTAGTTATGATTTAATGTCCAGGTTCGTCAAAATCATTTTCTAGAATTATATTGTGGTGTCAATTATCCCCTCATATATGCCATTAGGGCCTGCTTTAGGTAATAGGAGGCCTAGAACCAGATTATGGAGTGAGATATTTTATTTTTTAGTTATTAAAACAAAATGACAGTAAATAGAATCACAGTTGTTGGGTGATAAATACATTGTGTTAATGTAATTGGAGTTGCTTAAAAAAGTTAATCTTGTATTTTGAGAATCAAGTATGAAAGCAACATCGATGGTGATGCAAATAGATAATAGTAGAGTAAGGAGATGGTTGATTGTAAGCAACAAATATGACTATTTCTACCACTTTGCAGCGTTTGGCAGATATGCTAGAACATGATAGAACAAGATGAGTGCTGTTTTATGTTCGGTGTATTTTATAAATTTATTAGTGTGGGATGTGGGATTATAAGTGGAACATCTTGTTTCACTAAAAGTTTATGTAACTTCTGCTTTGTTCTTTTTTGTGCAAACAGCAAACATTACCTTCATGTTCTTGAGTAAAGACAATTTGATGTGAAATAAAAGAGATTTTGTAAGATTGATGATCAATAATAGAAAGATAAAATAATAAGAGCTAACAATTATAAGAAATAGTCATGAAGTAGCAATAAGAAAAAAAGGAAAGTACATAACAAAGGAAATTAAGTCTAAACGTATTGTAAGAATAAATGGGGTTTGTCTTAAATTAGCCTTGAAGACACTTATATGAGTCCTATAGCAAGGGACTCTGTTAGCCTTGCCCTGTACCTGGCACTGTATGTCATAGCAAAAATATGATATTATTCGCCCACAACACTTATATTTGTCTATGTGATGAAATGTGAAAGCATTCGTGAATCCTGCATTTTCCCCATTGCCTGCTTGTTACTTTAACCAAAGATGCAATGAAAACTTGAAAAGGCACATGCACATCACTGTGCATGTATGTGATCCATTTGTTATTCCTTTGCTTACTGTTGTTGAGTGGTTCAGACAAAGTTTGTAAATTGATGTTATTTGTTTTCCATTTATTGTGGTATAGGATCCAAGAGCTATTCGGTTTTTCAATCGCCGGGTAAGTTTGCGGCTGATATTCATTTTTTCTTCATTATGCTTGTAATGATTCTTTTCATTAATGGCTGAGTAATCCCTTTCCCACTAGGCATGCCCTTAATATATTTTGAGAGGCAGCTAATGATTTCTGAAATGCTGTGATCTCTTCAATCTTCATTTATTTTTCTTTTGTGAATTTCTTGAATAAGAATAAATGTTTATGAAGAGACTTCTTTCACCTTATTGATATGTAGTTATTTTCATTTTTTTTGTAATCCTGAATTAATTTAGCTAGGACTAGGTCCTTGATTTTCAAATGCTTACGTAGTCTTCAACTTACTGTAAAATATGCGCCATAAGGAAAACATATATTTATTTCCGTATCAGTATTGCTTTGTTTAAATATATATGATGGAAGTACTATGTCTAGAAAGCTATTATCTAATTGTCTGGTTTTCAAATCATTAAACTGCCATATTTTTTCATTTTTGAAGAGTTTTTACAATTTTAGTTATAAACTA